GAGAGAGAGAGAGAGAGAGAGAGAGAGAGAGAGAGAGAGAGAGAGAGAGAATAACTCTTAGAAAAAGTTTATTAGCGTGATGGCACACACTTGTCCATCCAGCACTGGGTGGTGGAGATAGTCAGCTCCCTGGATCTCACTAGCTTATCAGCTTAGCTAGCCAAGTCATGTGAACTCCACATCCTAGGGAGAGACTCTGTCTCAAAAACCATTATGGATAGTTCTGAGAACAACACTTGAAGTTGGCCTCTGCCTCTGCTTGAACGTACAACTTCCCTACACCCACACATGCATGCATACATACATACATACATACATACATACATACACACAAACACAGGAAAAAGTATAATGCTATAGATTATAATGCTATAGGTATTTCACAATAGTGGAAAAGTTTTACAAAAATGGGCTGTTTCCAGGCCGTTGAGAAGTAAATCTGAAGAGCTTCTGTCAAGTGTCATGTGACACCATGTTGAGCCTGGGAAAGTAAAATCCTGGTCTTAAAGGTCTTAAAGGGGAAGAAAGAAAATACTATACAAAAATAATTTTATTTCTCCCCAAAATATATTTTAGGTATAATGGTTATAATATAAAAATTACTACAATATGACTGCTATTCAGTGGTCTTAGATAAAAAAAAAAAAAAAAAAAAAAAAAAAACATTTCGTGTGAACTGTGCAAGAGCCTCAAAACCTACAAGCTGATATGAGAAAGGATGCTCTAACCACCCAACCTGGTTCCTTTTTTTACATTGTAGTCACCTGACTTTCTGAAAGAGGCATGGTTCCAGCTTTTACAGAAGAGATGGTTTGCTGAATAGTAACATTTACAGTAAAGGAAATGCCTGTGTTTTCTAACATTTTGCTTCAAAATTCTCGTGCCCTGGCACTATGCAAAGGCGGGCCTGAGGCGTGCCAGAGGCAGTCTCCTCCCTTTGCCTGCCTTCTTCCTCATTCTTGTGCCTTGGTATCACAGACGCAGCCGACCTGGTGGGGGTTCTCTGTAGCTCCATGCTTTCTGTCATCCTGGCTGCCGGCTCCAGCTGCTGACAGGACTGCCATTTTCTGCAACCTCCAGGGTCAGGAAAAGAAAGACGTCTCAAAACTTCCAAATCACTTCCTCTTGGCCCAGGTAAGATATGTCCCTCTTTACTCAGACACACTGGCATGTGTAATCACAGAAGGGGCAGAAGCAGACTGCAGGTTGTTTTTTTTTTTCTATCTTTATGAGATGTGGGAGAGTGTCACCTCAGGACAGAGACTTTCTTTTCTCTCTTGAAAACTATTAGGGACCCTAAAGAGCTTCTGTTTCTCTTGGCTATTTACCATATTACTATAGTGTACTGTGCTAGAAAGGAAAACTGAGAAATTTTAAAAAGTTAACTAGTGAGTGTTTTGTAAATATATCATATATTCTTAAATAACATTTTTAAAGACAGCCATCTATCCTGGATGTTTTACAGCCTTTTGTATATTTGCAAATCTCTTTAATGTTGGACCCAATGGAAGGAAGCAGAGTTCTTCTCGCTTTGTCTTCAGACTGTTGCAACGGTCCACAGAATTCGCCTCTAACACTATCTTGTCCACTTGTAAGAGTAGGAGATCTAAAAGGCAATTGGCATCCAGGACGACTAGAAACAGTTTGGGCTGATCTGTGGACCACTAAGAGCCTCTTCTTTGGAATGTTGAGACCAGCTTTTCTTTCAAGGAAGCCTCAAATCCAAACTAGTTCTCTCAAAGCAAACAAGACCTTGTGCAAGGTTGATAATCAGGAAACTCCACAGCAGAAGACGTGGTCTGGTCTGGACTTGGGTAATATGATAAGATTCCCCAGCAAGACTTTATGTCGAAGGGGAAGGGCTGAATAAATAAATCGTCTTCTATTTTGAAGTCATACAACAAAACCAATTTTAAGACGTCCTTAATCTCTTTACTTTCTGCCTATTTTTAGCTGGCCAAATCCTATGCCAGGCTCCTTCAGAATATCTTCTTCTCTACCTTCAGTGTCTTCCCATTCCTGTTAAATCACAGTCTGAGTCTCCCATAAAACCCTCCATATTCTCCTGTTCACTTCAGGATAGAATGTTCCGCCTGCCACCCCACCCCAACTCTACCTCGTTCCCCTCCCACACGAGGAAGAGGGAATATACAACACCCAGTCTTCTTTCACACACAAATTCCAAGTATGTGAGTTGCACTTGACCTTTTAAAAATAAAGTCTATATTTAACAGTTGATTAAATATACCTGTCATTAATGATCTAATTTCCTGTTGTGTTCTGCCCCTATCCCTTCCACATCCCACAGACATACAGTTGTAAGATAGAACAATTGTCAAGGGTTAGATGACTTACTAAACTATCACCTGGCCAGTGAGATGGCTCAGCAGGAAAAGTGCTATGTCAAAGCCTGCTGATCTGAGATCCATCCATGGATCCCTTCTAAAGATGGAAGGTGTCCCTGATCTCCACACACGAGCCGTCACACACAAGCCATCACACACGAGCCATCATAAACTCAGACACACTCAAAACACAGGTGTTTTGGTTTAATTTAGTTTTGGTTGGTTGGGTTGTTTGTTTGGTTTGTTTCTTTTGAGACCGGGCCTCACTATGTACATAGCTTTGGCTGTCATAGACCTACGTAAACCAGGGTGGCCTCTTACAGAGATCTGCCTGTCTAACAGTGCTTGGATTATAGGCGAGTGCTGCTACAGCTGGCTACAATAAGGGTGTTTTTCTTAAAAAAGAACCGAAATGTTGAGTGTTGGTCTTGCTGAAGCCAGGACGACTTCCCACAGGATTGTGGAGATTTAATCACATACCAGGCCCAGCTGTCCGGCCTACACCTATTCCACAGAACTGGAGCTCCACAGACAAGACAAATGGGATCAGAGTCGTTTGTCCAGTTCAAGGCATTTTACTTTTAATACAATAGTATTTTTTAAACTCCTGGGAATTTGAAAATACTGGTTGAATAATATTCTCTAGCTGAGTGTTGCCTACCAGTGGTCTCAACCTTCTTAAAGCTGGGAGGGGTTCTTTAATACAGTTCCTCACGTTGTGGTGACCCCCTAACCATAAGATCATTTTTGTTGTTACTTCGTAACTTTTCTAGTGTTGTGAATTGTAATGTAAGTATCCATGTTTGCCAATGGTCTTAGGTGACCCCTCTGAAAGGGTGGTTTGACTCTCAAATGAGTTGCGACCCACAGGTTGAGAACCACTGTAAGAGGAAGTGGCTACTAGGACATTGGCCCCATATAAATGGCTCTTTCCTGGCAGCTTTAACTATAGCCTAGAATTGCAGAATGCTAGAGCTGGAAAAAACTTAAAAGTTTGACGTCCAGCTTCCTTGTTTTTCAAATGAGGAAACTGAGACCCCCTGAAATTAAGTAACTTGCCCCAGGCAAAACTGGAACTCATGAGACCTAATTTTCATCATGATATTCTGTCATCTCTCTGTGAGCTAGTTTTCAAAAGCTTATACTACAACTTTTTGATTTTGAAGATCTAATTTTTTTGGTATATATTCCTAGGAGGCTTTTTATGAGAACATTAGGTAAAGGCTGGAGAGATGACAAGGTTAGAAAAGTACTCAAAGTCCTGCATTCAATCTTCAGAACGCAAACTTAAAAAGCAAACAAGCCAAGCTGAGCAGAGTTCACACTCCCAGTCCTAAGATGACAGAAACAGGTGGATCCTCAGAGCTTGCTGACTGTCCAGTCTAGCCAGCAGGCAAGTTCCAGGACACTGAGAGTCTGTCTCAAAAAGTGGGATGTGGCCAGCAAGATGGCTCAGAGGATAGGAGTGTTTGCCACCAAGTCTGGCCCCAGAACTGACTTCTGCAAGTTGTCCTCTGACCTTAGATGTGTGGACAGACACACACGTACACACACACACACTCACACACAAAATATTTTTTCTTTACTTTTTAAAAGGATGATTGATGGTACTTAATGAATAGTACCCACAACTGTCCTCTGACATATGAGTGTGGGCACACTCACAGACACATGTACATACATGTGAATAGATGAACATTTACACACACATACATGTGCAAGAGATTACTAGATGAAATGTTCAAGGCATTCTTACCCACTGGGTACTGTATTTCTTAGATTAGGATTGAGAAAGCAAAGAAACATACATGAGGATGAATCAGAGAAGAAAACCAGAAAGGAGTAAGGAAGAAGAAGATTAGACTTGACATCATGATACACTCAGAGCTCACAGGAGTAGGAACACAGTAAGTGAAAAGTCTACAGAAAATACATAAAACAAAATTAATTAGGAAACTAGAGGAGTATTCGATCCATTTCTTTTCTTTCCTATTTTCGTTTCTCCCCCCCCCCTTTTAGGTTTATTTATTTATTTACTGTATGTGAGTACACTGTTGCTGTCTTCAGACACACCAGAAGAGGGCATCAGACCCCATTACAAGTGGTTGTGAGCCACCATGTGGTTGGTAGGAATTGAACCCAGGGCCTCTGGAAGAGTAGTCAGTCCTCTTAACTGCTGAGCCATTTTTCCAGCAAGGAAAGTATTTAAGAAAGTCTTATATTTTGATTAATGTGTTTTTAGGCTTCCCTTCTTTTCTTTCTTTCACTGAGTTTTAGAGGACAGTTTTAAGGTCTGTCCCCCAAATAGAATGTATTGGTTGCGCTATGACCCAGGTGAACTTTGAAAACTCAAATTTAACCTGTTTTTCTCCTCCCCAAAGAGATCAAGCTTGCATAAAGAAGATCTGTTACCTGGCTCCCCTTCCTTGGTTTTTATCAAAGAAACTACACTGCAATTGTAGGAAATTAGACAAAATCTAAATAATGTAATAGGAAAGTAATTGTTTTAACTTTGTAAGTAAAATAAATAATAGGAATATTTTCAAATTAAATGCTTGGTCAAGAGTGGCATAATTTCAGAGCTGCTAGGCCAAGGGGATTTTAAACTGTTAGCTATTGCCAGATAGAAGATGGTGCCCTAGTGGGGTCATCTGCCTCCATCACTATGGAGTGAGTTAAACCATTGCTTCCGTATCTCAGAAGCTCTCTCACCGAGCCCTAGCGATAACCCCTCTCCACATTTTTTAACTTTTTTTTTTTTTTAATTTGGGGACAGGAACTGAGTTACATAAGCTGACCTTGAACTCACTCTGAGTTACCCAAGCAGGCAGGCGTCTCATCCGTCCTTGTAACTGGTGTTACAGGCCTGTGCCATCAGACTGGATTATAATGCTATTTTATTAAAGCATTATTTTATCACAGCGTGTGTGTGTGTGTGTGTGTGTGTGTGTGTGTGCACGAGCACACATGAGACAGGTGTGTGGGAGTCAGAGCACATCTTTTGTGGAGTTGGTCTCTTGGGAACTGAATTCAGGTCTCCAGATGTGGACTGAATTCAGGTCTCCAGATG